ATTATTTTGGTACACTAATTCACTTTTGTGATCCCTTTCCTTAAATATGCCAGATTTGACTTTTGACCCCACATATCTCGAAAAATCCCCCTCCACGGACCGATCAACAATCAGATTCGTAATCTACGTCAAAAAATACATTAGAAAAAGTTGGTCTGGTAAATTCTGCAAAAAGTGACACCTACACCTCATATACGACCGGTCTATATACTTGAAAATGATAATGTCGTTTGTAATGTAATAAATTAGGTTTAATATTTCTAGTACTAACATTATTGACAGCTCCCGAAACTGGTCTATCCTATTGTTTAAAGAAGCGTTCGCTATACGTAGACTACACCCTTTGCTTAACAATGGGCTCAGAGCTTCAAAAGAGCTTTCTTTGTTTTGGTAGGTATCTTTGATCATTAGAGTAAGAATGCTTTGATCTTTTGTTTAAATCACTGCTATGTCACCTACTAGAGGTAATGTTTTGATTGGTTAAACACTTTTGGTACTAGTGCATATAAGCTTGCTAATATGGATAATTTTTTCATTCCTGATGATGTCATAATTAATGTCGAAATATTGAATCCCAACACGATGGCGTGTATTTCAATACTTGGAGTATGTACTGTATTATACTTTCTTACTTCAAAACATATCATTAAATTAAAAAAGCATGGCGATCACGTAACTTTATTTTAAGTACAATCTGACTCATAATATAAGGCAATGCATGATTTTGTTCCTGATTTTATTTGAAGCACTTTCCAAACCACATTAATCACTTAATAAATGTTATTATACATCTTGAACATTTTTAATTCGATGTTTACCCTAAATATAACCGTTTTACACATTTACCCGTTTCTTTTTTATTCAGTGGCGTATCTAGGGGGTGCGCACGCCCAGTCGCAATTCCCCCAAAATCATGGTCAAGTAGTACGTTAAAAATCACCTAAAATCGCTTTATTTTGTGAGTTAGCACAACACAAGTAGGAGGTTAAAAATCACCTAAAATCGCTTTATTTTGTGAGTTAGCACAACACAAGTAGGAGGTTAAAAATCACCTAAAATCGCTTTATTTTGTGAGTAAGCACAACACAAGTAGGTTAAAAATAACCTAAAATCGCTTTATTTTGTGAGTTAGCACAACACCACAGTTCATCGAGCCACTTCACCTTTGCGCCCCCACCCCATCAGCACCTCCATTTCATGAGTTGTAGACATGCTGCTGTTCTTTCTTATAACTGTATTTTAAATTATTTTAATGGTTTTTAAATGCTTAGCTTAAGATTAATTGATTTAAGTATCGATGTATACTTTTTGAATTATATTTAGTCGTATTTTCGTATACATGTGTAGTAAGTCTGTGGTTTTATGTATTATTGTGAATGCACCGCATGACGTGTGCCATTGATTCAAAGGTGCACATTTCAAATAAAGTTATATTGTCACTTTTTTGGCCTATGGGCCAATATACAGCTAGGTTGACAACAAACTAAAATTCAGCACAGCTCTTCCAAACTCCAGCTCCCACCACCAACATACACAAGTACACTAAAAGAAGTATTTGCCGAACTAAAAAACAAGGATTGAACTTTGTATTTTCTCACGGCTGTTTTCGGACTCGACTGTAATTACCGTACCTAATAAAATGAATTTGTATTTGATGGAAGTATTTGCCGAACTTTACGAAAAAAATATGCATTTAAGGTTTAAAACTTTAAAAATCACTACAGTACAAGAAAATACAATCGGAGCAACATTTATTTATACACAAGTTTATTTTATACATAAACCAAGGTGTGTCACCAAAATCAGTCATGTTGTAATGCGTCTTACCTTTCTCCAAGACCATAATTATAACATAGTTATGTAGCATGTCTTATTTTCCCCCCAAAACTGTAAAAAGCAGGATTAAACATTAATGATCATTACACATGGTTACACTGTTTTACATAAATATCCAGTACAAAGAACATTTTATAATACAGTACATGGAAATATTAACTTAGTAGGCTAAGACGAGACTGCATGCCTGGATGAGATACAGCCTTTATATCTTGCATTTTAAAGTGATCAACGTAATCGAAGAGTATATAACTGCAAGAGGTGCGACTGCCCTAATTTTTTATGCACGCAATGGAAGGTTAAAAAAAGTCTTTAAAATGTCTTTTAAGGACACGCCCCTTCGTGGCAGGACTTTTTGAAATAGGATTTCACTCCAGCGAAACCACACATTTTGGACCTCTTGCAGTTTTATACTCCTTGACGTAATATTCGGTAAAAGAAGTGTGAAGCAGCTATAATAATTATACTTCAATAATAATATATTTCTTCTACAGAAATATCAACTTAAGCGTAATCATACAAAAAGGCTGAGGATAAGTTCTATATTACAAAATTTTGATTTCATTCCACCAAGGTTTAAAGCAAAACACAAAAAAAAAAAAAAAAAAAATCAATCTAATAATATAATGTAATTTATTCAAAGGATAACTTAAGGGGAAAGCTGCAATGCATTGAATATCACCAGAGATATGATAAATCCCAACTTGGAAAGTGATTAAAATAACCCAGTGTGATCAGCGATCAATAAAGAGCATAGTCAATATTATATTTAATAACAGTGATTTGCAATTTAATACAATAGAGAACAAAGTAAACTTATTTTGTCACCTATAACTAATAATGAGAAAATTATATTCATCACACTATAAGTGTAGCTGCCAAGATGTACAGCTAGTAACATGTGTCGCCCTCCACACTGAGGTGACGTTCAATTTAGCTAAAAGTTATGCTTCAGCGAATCAGAAAAAAAGCTAGTGCTGAGTGCAGTACGTAGTCATTTATTTTGGACCACCAAACCCGAAAGTAGAACATAATGTGATGGTTCAATTTTTTTACTGATCAGAAAAAATCCCACAACATAAGTGAAAGACAATACTGTACAGTTAAACTTGCTTAAATCAAACAATTCGATCTTTATTTTACATGCCACATTTTTGTGCTTTCTACAGTATTACCTAACGATCTGTAAGTCGAATTTTTAATTACTGTAAGTTGAACAATATTTCAATGCCATTTTGGATTCGACAAGTTCAAATGTTTAAAAAAAAAAAAAAAAAAACTAAATCAAAGGCAATATACCTTGCAGGAAAAAAAAGGGAATGCAGATTTTCAGTAATTAAAACTTGTGGTCCTTATACTGTATATTTGACCTTTTCCTGTGGGATACTTTTTGGAACGTTATAATATATAAAACACAAGACAAAATTTGTGGCAAAGACAAGCCAAACCAGTCACTCGTCAGAAAAATCGATTTTGAGTTATTAATACAGTGTTAGAGAGTAAAATATTAGCTATAATATGGTAAAAAAATCATTCAAATCGGACATTTCCTTATGAAGTTACAAGCGTTTAACCACACAGCTGTTTAAAGAGCAATATATGAGAAATTAACCATCAAATTTTATGATTTCAGGCATTTCTCATGCAGAAACTATCTTTAAATCCTTAAAAAGTATTGTTTTAACATTGAAAATGGAGAAAATAACAGCATAGAATGATGTGTAGATATATAAAGGTTAGTTTAGTGCAATAAAATAGATTTATAAAAGTTTGACATTCCAGCATGTTTTGGCCATTTTCTCTGAAACACGATTTGCGACGAGTGACTGGTTTGGCTTGTCTTTGCCACATTTAAGCATAAATACTTGTCATTATACTCTGCAGCTTTAAGATTATATTACTTATTACCACTTTACATTCAATTGAATTGGTGAACAATTATTCTTACCATGACAAAAACTTTTTTGTTGGGACATTTTAATAAAAATGTTAAATAAATCAAAAGTTACATGTTAGGATTTTATAATAGTTAGTGGCTTGTGATAGTAAATTTCTTGATTCTCCAATTGTTATTAAACCCTTGTCTGACAGACTAATCAATAAATAAAGCGATACTTGAAGTCTCACTTGAAATTCAGTAGGGCCTAATCATTATTTTGAATAACTCATCAATTGTGCAAGCAATACCAATGCCTTGAGTGAATTTGAAATACTGTAATGACATTTCAGTCTGCTTCACTTTAGTGATAAAAAATTCATACTAAGACTGCTCCAGTTGAAAAAAAAAACACATTCAAATTAACTGTGGAACATTGTCACTTTAATTCAGTAAGCACTGAATTATGTATTAAGTGATAACAATGTCTAATTTTATTTAAAATACTCTTCAATGTTATGACTTTATACTAAATTTGTGTCATTACTGTATACCATATTTATTCGAATAAACACCTCTTTGAATAAACACCCCCTCTAGAGCCTCGTTTGAAATAAATGCCTCCTTTGAATAAACGGCCTGAGGCATTTACTTTTTCTCAAATAAACCCCCACTAAAAGTCTGTAAATAAATCTAATGGACGCGACATCACTTTCAACACATTCTATTAATATTCTACTCCTGTTTGGATTCATAAGTTTTTATGATCACGCAATAAGATATTTTGATGGCAATTATGTGCTGTAGTTTACACTGAAAATAAGGGGTGTTTATTTGAGTGTAAAATAACCCCCCTCCCACCCTCCCCCCCAAAAAAAAAACCTTTCTGAACAATGAAAGCCCCAGGGATGGGTGTTTATTAAAATAAATACAGTACAGTATTTTTATGAAACTTCAATATATCATCTTTACTGTAGAGTCTCAATTGAATTAAATTAATCATCAGTAATACATGTGATATTTCGTATAAAGAGCTGAGGACAAAATGCATCAGCTGATGCGATTCCATGAAGTCAACGTGTCTAGGCACACAAGGTGGACCCATTATAAAAATAATTTTTTTAGACTTCCACCTACAGTAACATGTGGCATTGTCAAGCACTATTACACAGAAAGGACATGGATTTTTTGGCTGACCATAAACCGATGCAATGTGTTCCAGATTTAATCATACAGGAAGTATCTTCTACTATACATTTGAATAAATTTTATAGAAAATTAACTCTATTTTACTTCCCATATTTTTGCTTATCCTCCTCAATTTCTCTCTGTCGCTTCAAAATAGCTTCATTCTTCTCCTTGATCCTTCTTATTCTTAACTCTAATGCCTTATCTTTGTTATTACTTTCAGAAGGTAAATCAATGTCACTATATTTGGCATGCTCTTTGGAAGATGCTAGATTTCTTTCTTCTATCTTTCGTATTTTTTCCTGAATTTCTCTCTCCCTCTTCTTCCGCTTGAGTTTCTCCTCATCACTAAGTTTTTCAACAGCACTAGATCGTACAATTTTCCTGCTGGGCTCAACAGTACTATCAAGATCAATGTCCTTCGGTGTTCTCTTTAGATTTAATCTCTCCTTGACACTTTTCCGTGACTTCCCAGCATCCTTTGAAACAAATTTCCTTGCATCTTGTGCACTACTCTCGGATCCCTTTGAATTTTTTTCTAAACCATGCCAGATTTCAGATTTCAGGTTGTCCTTGGGACCAAGGCGTAATTTTACAGGTGCTTTAGAAACAGTCTTCCCCAGACGTTCTTGTATTGACTTTTTACTTTTCTTAAGAACCTTTTCTGGATCTGCGAACGATAAAATAACATTTATTAACGGTAGTAGTAATCAAAATACAATATTATTATTATTTGGTTATTGTGTCTACTGCCCCCAATGGGGGCGTAGACACTATGTCATGATGTAGCAATTAAGGATGGCAGAAAAAGGTAAATCCGGTTTAGGCATGATGGGTACTACTACCACGAGGGGAGGGGGGCTCTATTGACAATAGAATAGTATTCGGAACTAGAACAAAATTGCGTTCGAAACCAGTACACGTGTTATAGAGACGCAGCACGCGTTCGCCACAAACGCCTTTTACCGTCATTTGAAGGACGCCCTCTAGAACATGGTAGTACTCTTCGTGATTTCCTCTCAGGAAAATTTTGGTCCGGGGCAAAAATCGGTCCGGTGGACTGATTTTGGCCTCATAATTACTTGCCAAATGTAGTCCACATAAGCCAAAATCAGTCCGCTGAAATTTACTTTGCTGCACAGCAGACTTGGAAATATTACGTCCGCAATAGGTTTTGGCGGAAAGAACAATTCCTAGCTTTTACAGACGTGCATATGCTTATCTAGCCAATCACAATGATGTCCCTAGCTGAAGCCTTAATTTGCATACATCACCCTATATAAGAGTTTAAGATCGGCATGTACTTGTGTTGATAGTAGAGCCTTCGCGGTTAGTGAACATTGGAATAACTGTAAGGAAAGACTTATGTACATGGACATACATTACCTCACATTGAGAGAAAATTTAATTTCATATTCATAAACTCATACTGCCTCCACGCCTCATATATTTGGTAGAAAGAGGGTGGGTGGGTGAACGACGTGAAAGTGGTTTTGAAATTTAACATGTAGATTCCGCTACGCTAGACACAGCACAGTGGTTTCAAAGCACCAATCACAATGATGTCCATCGCTGAAGCCTGATTTACAGACATCACCCTATATAAGAGTTTACGGTCATGATGTACAGTATTTGGCTTTTGTTGATTGCAGAGTCTTCGAGGGTTTTTTCAGTGACAGGACAAACTACCATACCCCCTTCTAAATCCACTCCTCATATATTTGGTAGAAAGAGAGGGTCGGTGAACGTCGTGAAAGGGTTTTTGAAATTGAACATGTAGATCCCGCTACGCTAGCCACAGCACAGTGATTTCAAACCACCACAATGATGTCCATCACTGAGGCCTGAATTTGCATATATCACCCTATACAAGAGTTTAAGATCGGCATTCGGCATGTACAGTACAGTATTTGTGTTTAGTTGATAGAGCCTTCGTGGTTAGTGAACATTGGAATAACAGTAAGGAAAGACTAAGCTATGTACACGGATAGATATTACCTGTAGTTGTTGTATTTTTAATAGTGTTACAGTATATGTGAGGTCTCACTACAAAATGAGTCTCATCGTTAGAAAATCAAAAAATGAGTTAATATTACATTTTGGTAGATCACATTATAAGCTTTAATTTGGTCTTTGAATGGCTTCCCTAGGATAAATAGATCCAGATGTTAGCATTTAAAGTTCAGGTGTATGAGAACCAGGTTTTGAGAAAATCGGCCTCAAAGATAAACTAACCTGTACAAATAATAGGACTAGAATTACAGAATATGCGAAGAGAACACTGTTTTAGACATGAAATATAGGTATCAAGTTATTCAAAAACATTGAAATCAAAATTTTGTAAAAATGTTGCCTTTGACCTATTTTGGTGAATATCTCAATATGATTTCACCAACGATGCGTCTCATTTCGTGGTGAGACCTCACATATTTGCTATGAACAATTTCACACATTGACATTAAATTTAATTTCATATTCATAAATCATACCGCCTCCACACCTCATATATTTGGTAGAAAGAGAGGGTGGGTGGGTAAACGTCGTAAAAGGGTTTTTGAAATTTAACTGTAGGGTAATTCCATGTCAAATCAACCAAAAAAAAAACCTCAATCGCTCGGAATTTGTTCAAATTTTTGTATGTTGTTGGGACCCATGAAAAATTATCAGAAATGAAAAATTTTTTCTCTAGGCCTCCTAATTAGCGAGATATCTGCTAACGAACTTTTGGCTAATTAGCGATACCTTGCGTGTTTAACCGACCATATCTCGAAAAGCGTGGCACCTACAGAGCTGATTTTGGTGTCATTTTAAAGCTATTGAGTAGCTCTATAACTTTATTAATAAATGCTAAGTCCTCAATTCAAATATAAAAAAGTTATGACAAGTTGTAAAGTTCAAAGTTGAATAAAAAAAATATATATCTTTTTTTTTTTTTGAAATTCATGTTAGAGATACCTAATGATGTAAAGAAGCTTCCCTATAAAAAAAAGTTTGGTGATGGGCGCTCCAAAAGTTCCTGAACAATGAGCAAGTATTATGTATACTTGTCAATTCGAAATTGCATTTTCCGTATAATAACACAGTATTGTACCTATATAGGAAAACCAATAGTACACCATACTGCTT